AGCGGGCTGCTGCGGAACAGCAGGATGGGTTCAAGCGCCAGGGCACAGCCAGGGGGTGAAGCCCCGTTTCCCGCGGTCCAGACGAAACACCCTTTGCCCCCCACCAGTTTTGAGAGGTCCCCACTGAAGCAGGGGGAACGGCAGGATCAGACCCTGCTCCCCGGCGCAGGCGGCGTCCCACAGTGGGCACAGGGTCCTGCCCGTCCTCTGCGAGGGGGGAAACGGCTCCTCCAAGGGTCTGAAATAACCCCGGGAGGGCAAAGCCCGGCGGAAGGTCGGGTTTGACACCCAGGAGCGGATGGGGAAGGAGCTGCCTTGCTGAGGCTCCTGTGCCAGGGCAGGGGAGAAGCCTCAGCGTGGTCCTTCCTCTCCCTCTCCAGGCTGTGGCTCTTGTAAGAGACTGGGGAAACCGATTATAGAGCAAATCAGTAATGAGGAGATAGATACTGAAAACGTGTCCTAAAAGACTGAAGAATTCGTAGGGAAATCTATCCTGGGCTTGCTGCAGCCCCTCCAAGAAGCACTTGCATCAGCTGGGAGAGCCACAGCTCTGCTCCAGCCGGTACATGGAAAACTTTGCGGTATTTTTCACTCAAGCCTTTAACCCTGTTACCAAAGAAAACGAAAAGGTGAAGTCGTGGCTGACGGTCGGTAGCTTATCCTGCAGAAACGCCCGATCCCCAGCCCGAGCGCTCCTCAGCGCAGCACGGCGGACGCGCCGAGCGGGGAGGAAAGGCCAGGCGTCCCCCGGCGCCAGGGTCCCCCGGCTGGGAATAGCTCAGGTCTCGTTTGCGGGAGGCTGTGATGATCCCCCGGCTCGTGTTCGCCTTGGGCAGGTGGAATTGCTCGGCCAGGGCCAGGGCCAGTGGCCGGAGAGCGCAGGACCCCGCGGCCAGGGACAGGATCGGTGTCACAGCAGCACGGAGCGAGGCTGAGCTCGTCCTCGCCACATGCCCTAAGCATCCAAACCAACAGATGCTCTTGAAAAAACCTCAGAACAACCAAATAATTGAAGTGTCACCGCCTAAGTGCATTATTACTAGTGTATAATTAATTACTACACAACTAATTAGTCCCGCGGAACGATTAGTTCAAAATTCAAACAGGGATGTGATGGAGCAGCACAACGCCGGGCTGCTCCGGCCACCGTCAGACGTGACCGTGCATGTGATGGGGCTCGAGAACCACCAACACGCGCTGGCACCAGGGTCACCCCACGTAGCAGCACCCTGAGGGGCCGCTCAGGGCACCCCGCTCACCCTGCCAGGCTCTGAGGCACCATCGCTTGTCCTGCAGCAGGGACTAATTAGGAAACAGGGGGACATGTCCCCCACCCCCAACCCCCCTGCAACACCTCAGCAGGGGAATAATGTTGTTACGGGCTTCAGTTTGGGGGACAGGCTGGAGGGGTCAGTGCTCCCCACAGCTACGGAGGGTTTTCACCCGGTGCCGTGTTGCACAGAAGGGCTGTGGGTTTCATAGCGGTGGATCCCGGAGATCGGGGCTGTGACGGTGCGGGATGGATGGGAAAGGGGAGACGGAAAAGATGGGAATGCGAACGGGGAGATCTTTAAGTAAAGGTTATCAGGTGGCCAGGAAAGCCCTGGCTCTGTGATTAGGAGAACGTTTGGCTAAAACCGCTTCCCGCTGGTAAAGCAAAAGCAGAAATGAGCTCTGAGAAGAAATTTATAACGAAGGGGAAAAGGAGGGTGAAGGGGCGCGGGCAGGAACGAAAGGACAGAGAGCGCAGCGAAGTGATGAATAAACACAAGGGGAAAACCCGCAGATGGCAGGTCCTGGGGCGTGAGGCTGGAAAAGAGAGAAAAGGAACCAGCCAGAGCGTGGGTTTGCGTAGACACACAAAATAAAGCAGGTGAGGAAGCGGTGGGGCTCCGGCCGGCTCAGCAGGGAGCTGACCCCGGGTACCGAATCCCCCGACACGAGGGTGCCGGCCAGGGGTGTGCTGAGCAGCCAGAAGGCGGCTGGGCTGGTCGCGGGGATGTCACTCAGCAGCAAGACTGAAAGCTGTTATCAGGCAGCGCGACGGTGACGGTGACGAGGCCGGTGTGGAAGGGTGGCATCGGCCACGCCAGCAGCCCAGTTGCCAGAAGGGTCGGTCTGGGAGGGGGAGCAGGGGTCCCCAGCGCCCGGGGCGGCATGGCCATGTCCAGAGGGGACAGCCAGTGTTGGGGGTCCCGTCCCTCTGGGTGGGGCCAGGCGGCTGGAGAGGATGCTCATAAATCAGGGAGGTGCTGAGCACCCTCATCCCCGGGGATTCGGGGATGTCAGCGTGGTGCAACGAGCCTGAGCAACCCCCGCGGCGCGTCTGGTCGCTGATAACGGCGTTGGAGAGTCCTGAAGGCGGCCGCCAGCCACGTCGGCAAAGCCCCAGCCCGCAGCAGCCTTTGGGGGGCTCAGCCAGGGCCGGAGCACCGGGACTGAACCCCCGGGCTGGACCCCAGTCCCAGCACAGACCCAGCATCTCTGCCCTGGCCACTGCTCCCCGCTCTCCAGGTCCTGTCCTGGGTGGGATGGCTCCCACCATCCTTGGACAAAGCCTCGTCCTGGGCTAGACTGGATGCTCCCCCCCC